TCCCTGTTTTTCACTCAGCCAGTAGAACATGACTTTTTTCAGCTTGGGCAAATAAAAATCCAAAGAAAATTGTGGAAGGAAGCAGACTGGTTAACATAATACTTCCCCAATCTGCAACGTAATACTTTCTCAATCTGTTAATGCTTATGTCACTTGATGTAAGCTATGGATTTGTTTTCTCTGAGCTGAAGGATGTAACTGTGTCACCAGCAATATATTACCCATGAAGAAGCACCTACATGACTGATCACTTCAGCTAATCTGCACTGTTGAAAATTCTGCATGTTTAATTTGGCTCGGGGTCAACCAGCAAGTTAGCTAAGTATGAAGTGTCTACCTCTTACCCCTTGCTTGCTTCTTACTTGAAAGTAAGAGTGCCCGGCCCCAATTCAGACTGTGATCACTATGCACTGGCATTGACAGGGCAAAATTAAATCTCCCATCATCCAAACATTTGCATTCTGAATTCTCCCCCTTACCCATGAAAGATTAAAAATAAAAGAAAATCAGCCTCTTTTCACTTGGAACAAGGCTGGTAGCAAATGCACAAAATCATTGATGGTCTGATTTATGAATGCTCTCATTTTACAGAGCACAGGGAAGAAAAAGGGTATCTGCGTAATCATACTAAACCCTAGGGACACAGTATGTAATCTTGAAACCATTTATTCACAAATAATCCTACTGAGGGCAAATAGAGAACTGACTTTTGAAGAAATGAATTTTCTTTAACAGGGAAGGGGGGGATCTCTGACATGCTGAGAAATTATAACATCAGTTTTAATGATTAACCTTGAATAATCACTACTCAGCTGCTTATGCACTCCCAGTCATTAATATGAATTAGACAAGCTTTTGCACTCTGCACATTAAAAAAAACCCCTACTGATGTACAGATACACCATGATCAAGAGTTGAACATCCTATTTTTAAATGTACATAACCTAGCTAGAGATGGTTTTTGTACCCTGGTACAGCAGGAAAACAAAACATCACTCCATTCACTCTTTGCCTTCTTCAATACTTCCTCTATCTCTGATCAAAGCTTTGCAAACAGTCTGGGATCAGTTACGTATATAAGTCATCCTCAAGTATGGTTGAGTTTATGCCTGAGCTAGCATGTCTACCTGATCCTGCTACATCTCTCCTGGTGCATTTATGCTTCCACAGCTCTTTAGAATATCAGATCCTATAGAAAGGTGCTGTACAGGATTGAAATTATTGTTTTTCTCTGTGGATTTAGTCATATGCATAGATAGATTTATTACTGGCTTTCTTATTAATCATTTGAAAGCTTAGACAAAAGGGTGTATGTGTGTGGAGGGAGGGAGAGAGACAGAGAGAGAGGTGGAGTAGGATTTTATGAGCAGAGTTGAGAATGAAGCTTTAACTACTGCAACTGGAACAGCTGAGAAACCCCCCCCCCAACAATAATTACTCAGAAGATTTTAAGCAGCCCACCATATGTCTTAAATAGATGTGTGTGTGTGCGTGCGCGAAGTTATTTCCATAGCCAGCTTTATTTTTGCAGAAATTCAGCCATTTTCAATATATTAACTCCTGTGTGTCATAATTGCTGAAAGTGGGCTATATTTTAGTGGAGTATATACATTCAAACTGTGTATATAAGTGAAGGCAGAAGCTGAAATTATAATATGAGCTACTTAATGGGAACAGTATAAGATTAGAGGGTGCAATCACAGTGCAACCCTAAGCATGCTGACACAGAAATAAGCATGTTTAGGAAACGGCAGCCTTAGATGCTGAAATCAGAAAGGAATTAAACCTACAATCCCATCTATGTTTAGACAGAAAAATCCCTACAACTCCCATGATGCCTGGGGACTGGGAGTTGTATGATTTCTGCTGTCTATACATGCAGACAAATGTACCCTAAAGTACTTTTCAGTAGTCTTATCACAGAGGAAATGTTCACTCTTCCTGTTCAACAAAATGGAGCTCAGACGATTTCCATGAACCTGCATCTTGCCAGTGAAGCCAGTAGGCTGAATTGCTCTCTGACCTGCTAACATAATCTTCTGTCCTGTTTGGGACAAACTGTCAGTCCTCCAAGTCCGGTGGGGAATCTTCCTTGTCACTGCCTGCTATTTATTTACCAGCAATGGTATGGGGGAAAGTCAAACTGTTATAAAATATTTTATTTATTTATTTTAGTTCTATAGCATCCAATAGGCAAAGCTTTCTGGTCAATTCGTAGCAAATAAAATGATACAATACAACATAAGAGGCACCGTAATAGTTTAAAACTCCAGTATAAATTATTATTATTGCACTGCATTTACAGCCTGCTATTTTTCCTCTTAGACCATGCTTAGAACTCCAGTCTAGCCTCACAACTGCAATGCTGTGCAACAGGTTAAGGTGAGGCCCAAAGTGACCCAGTGAGTTTCATTATCTAGCCAGGCCTGGGGACTGGACATCCCAAAGTGGAACTTAGTAGTAATACAGTAAAGGGTTTAAAGCAACAGAAAGTCTAAAAAGACCAGAAAAATAGAAAGGTATTCACCTGAAACTGGAAAAATCCCAGCAGAGACAGCAAGTGAGCCTTTCCAGGAAGCTAATTCCACTAATGAGGTGCCAGAACATAAAAGTGCTTCTTTGTAGCCAGCTACCTCACTTCCTTTGGTAGGGGTCCTTGGCATAGGACTGCTGAGGGTCCAAGTAGGTATGTGTGGAAAGAGGTGGTCTTTCAGGTGTCCCTGGCCCTAATCAATTTAGGACTTTGAATGTTAATATTAAAATATTCAAACATTTTAAATTTAAGCCTATGTTACACCTAATAACGCAGTGGAGCAAAAGCAACAAGGCAACGATCTTATCTTCTTTTTCTGTCCCTGATGGGAAGAAAATATGGTTTATTTTTATCATCTGTTTTCCCTCCACACAAATGTTTTATAATCTTCTTTCTTTTGGATTGGAATGTCTAGGCAGCAGATTGTTTATTTATTTTATGAATTATTAAATAGTGACTTTCTTACACTCTCCCCCTTTGTTTTTGCGTGACTGTGGGCTGTGACATTTGGCGTTGCCTTGGTATGTCACCTCTTGCTTCCAAGAAATGGATGCGTCTGCCAGGTGATAACAAGAGTGAATCACATCTCCTACTGATGCTCTTAGGCTGGCCCATGTAGGGGCTGGCCCAGGTAGGTTAGGAAGAAGAAGATGGGCATGCAAGGTAAAGAAGCTGGGCGGCCAGAAAGGCAGACAAGTCAATCCATAATGGAAAAATGAAAGGGTGTTTTCCAGTTTCTTAAGTCCTAGGGTGCCTATGCATGCACTTGCGCACATACTTCTTTCTTCTTCTTTACTAGATCCTATTCTGCACATGTGTGCTTTGATTTGTATTCTATGACTTGCCTTATTTTTCTGAGCTATCTTCTCAGAAACACATTTTGACTGCCCTATGATTACTAGCTTGCCCTTGGGTCTGGTTTGTGTCCCGTCTATATGGCAAATATTTTCCAGATGCTTAATACTCTGATTATATCATTTGTGTTTCTGTGCTGTGGCCTAAAGTCTGTGACTTGTCTTACTTCCTTGAATGATTTATCTGCATATAGATTATTTTAGGCTTTCTATGACACAATTTTGATCTGTGGGGAATGGATATGTATAGATACCAATGAGGCAAGGTAAGAAATGCCTTAAGTTCTCCTTTGAAATGGAAAGGCAGAGTAATTCCATCCTCCATGAATATATAATACCAAAAATACTTGAAAGCAAATGGAATAGCAGCAACTTAGATATGCAGAGTGTTTTCTCTGGACTCTGCAAAAAGATGAATGCAGGCTATGTCACTGAACCTCTACCCAAGCCTAGGACAGATTTTTTATTCTTTTATTTTACAACTTGATGACCCAAGCCCAGGTCACCACCACTATAACAAATTGCAACATTTGCTTCATTCATAGCCAAAGTTTTTAACATCGATGTGCCATTAATGTGCATCATCCTCATCATCATCACAGCAATTTCTTTTCCCAGAAGCAGATGTAAGATTGAGGGTTAAAATGTACTGCTATCTTGAAATTTCAATAATTCAGGAGTTCTGTTTATGGAGATGAAAGTTAAACTTACTTGAACAAACAAAAAGTAGCAACACAGAAGCATGCATTTTTTGTCAGATTGTTTTGTGAAGTAGAAAAAGAAAGACAATGTCCTGGCATAAAATACCCATGAACTGGCCACTTCATTAGCAAAATGATACTGTATATGACAATTTAATTTCGTAACCTGTTTCCCTAGATTTTAATAAACCAAAGGCTTTAACTCTTATGAGAAAGCTTAAAAGCAGACATAATTTTGTCATGTGCGAGGAAGAAAATTATGCTGATTCCCAGAAGAATAATCCTACATGCTCCTCAGATTTTCTTGAGACTTTGAAATGCAATAGAGGACTAGCCATAGTTTGTACTTTCTCCCATAGTTTGTGAAATCCATTATTTCACAAAAGAAATGTATCTAAATGTAGCTACCCAAATGTAGCAGACGTTTACAAATGCAATACTTGGTAAAATCAACTAATCTGAGACAGTCCCTGAAAGTAGTTCCTTTCAGTTCGTAGCATCATAACAGCCAAGTATCTCTATACCAACCGAGGGAGTCACAAACAAGGAAGAATCATCAACTGCAACAAAGTTTAATTACCTCAGATCACCCTACAGTATTCAAAACATCACGACAAAAACCTATTAACAACATCAAATATAGTAAGAGTTGATCAAAAGGAAACGCAAACAGTTTCACAAGCACTATTTCTAAGGAAGAGACATCCATCAGAATGGAATCACCAACTCTAGAAGATGCCCCTGAATCAAGACATTATCAGAACTAGGGTCATGCCACTGTGCCAGGAGGAGGCAGGAGTCATTGACTGGAAACAGTCCATAAAATGAATCAATCAGATTCAACAGTTTTGACAAATGACTTGGAAGTGACTCTGAAAAACAAAATCAAGAAAGAGCAGAAAAAGAACTTACCTAGGACACCTAGTCTGTAGTTGATGGTCACAACAATGACATTTCCGTAGCTTGCCAGTATGCTGCCATCAACTATATTCCCTGTACCTTCCATGTACGATCCACCATGGATATAGACCATCACTGGCTTCTTGTTGTTCTGATCATGGATGTCTGAAAAGAGTACAAGTAAGGAAAACACAAGAAAGTAATACATGTATTAAAAGATTTTTTTCTTTTGCCTTCCCCCCTGAAGTTTTTCATGAACTTATTCTTTTGGATATTTTCATTATTTTTCATACCAACCCAGCCTTCCCCATTCTGGTGTCACTCAGGTGGACTGAACTTTAGCTGCAATAATTATGATGGTTGCAGTCTAAGGCATCATGACACCAGGATGGGCTGAACTGTCCATACTGTACATCTGCCCCTCTTCAGTTATGGCCATAAGCTTCTGGAAGTGCTCTGAAACAGACAAAAGTGCCATGACTACGGCATATCTCTTCATGATGGATTAAAATCATGGAGAAAATGCACCTGCTGAGCTTCAACAGGGTCACAGTTCAGAACAAAGTCACAATTTTCAGTTTCTAACATGAATGCATAGACATACTAAACAGCCGTCAAAATAATAATTTAAAAATGTCATAATTAGAAGGTCAACCATATGAATGTTCTTTTAAGAACCGAAACATTTAATTAGGTGTAAAGAGAAGCGCCATCTGGTATCTCTTTGTATTGGAATGTCTGAAACAGAAAGAACAGTCTAGTCACCATCAAATATCTGCCCAAGCTAATACTCAAAGGAGATTAGGCAAGGGGTGCGGCTCCCAAGCAAATTAACTTCACAGGTGTTGAAAAAAGCTACAAGTTTCAATATGATCATAGAAGCCCTACAATTTCATTTTAGCAAGGGCAGACTTCAAGCTTGCAGTATCTACTGACTTTGGTGAGAGGTGTACTTTCATAGCTTTCTTCATTTCAGCAAAATAGTTCAGGGTTGATCAATTTGTGGTTGCTGTAGCTCAAAAACTGAGAGGGAAAAATCCTTGTTGGTCCACTCCAAATCATCCATTGGTATACCAGTAATTACTGATCTACCTTCTACTCATGCCTGCTGAAACCCACATAGATTGCTTTCAGAATATTTATAGGAGAAAAGTCTTTGAACAGGAATTGGGAAGGAAGGAGGGGAGATAACAATGGAGCTCTAGATGGTATATGTAGCAAATGTTACACCAGCACAATGTCAGAAAATGTATTATAGTATCGGTACAGGTAGCTCTACTGTGTGGCAGACAGATGTCCGGGCACAAATGTGCAGACCCAGAATAAGGCCTGCATTTCAATGATTTTGCATTCTGATACTGGGTCTGTGGCTTTTTGTTGCCTTCTACACCACTTAGTATTCATAGTGAAAACAACACCCTTTATGTTCTATGAAATCTATGTGCACACAGGCAGGTGACCAAACAGAAGTTCTATTGAACTTTTCAGCCAACACTGCATGGTATGGCACTTTACCCATAATTCTAGCATACTGTGTCCATTAAGGGTTTTTTTAAAATATTTTACCCCAAATTGTGTCCTTTCAAAACTAATAAAAACAAACAGATTCAGCTAAAGTCAGTAGGGCACTGAAAGACCTATAACCCAAATGAAAATCTCATCTGTTTTAGTATATTCTATAAACTGATTCTTACACTCTATATTAGGGATCAAATAGAGGTCCCTGAGACCAAACAGCTAAACTCCTTTCATTTTGCTTCAGGCTTATGCTTAAATTGTGGAAGCATTCTAGATGCAATCCCAAAATTAAATGAAAGGAAAAATGCAACAGGATTTGAGGCGAGGAAACAAACATTTCTGCTCGGCATGGCACATATTTCTCCATTTTGGGGAAATTTTGCAGCAACAATGGAGCTCTGGTGTCCACCATTCTTTTCTTCCTTCCCAAAGTGCCTGTGGAAAACATTTTTGTGTAAATGGACATGTTAGAGTTCTTTCCAGAGACGCTATGGGAAGGGAGAGTGCTGCCATCCGGAATTCCACTGGCGAGAGAAGTATTTGAAACAGAAAAAAAGAAAAATATTTGAAACAAAAGATGTCAAAACCAGGAGAAAACTTTCCCATATCACACATGCAATCCCCATACCCTTCTACCAAAGACATTTGGGAAGTCCCTGAACAGAACCAAAATGGCTTCACCAGGCTTGTCACCTGATCAGTTTAGCAAATTGAGAGGTGCATCAGGTGGGCCATCATTTAGTAATTCAAGGAAATAAGGTTGTGCAGAAAAAAACAGGTTCTAATAATAGGACCACCCAAGTAATCTTCAAGGAGCTGAAGGTGCAATCCTCCACCGCTCATCCTGTGCTCAAAATATCTCTGAAGCAAAACTGATTGTTGACCAAGGATGTGTATCATCTTTCATCATGGTTGAGTAATTAATATTTAGAAGTAAACAGGAGGCGGCAAAAGCTTTGCTTCAAGAAACCAATATGTTGCACTTTTTAGAACTCCATAGTTCACTGATTTGAGTACAGAGGTAGGTGGGAAATAATATTTGATGAATATAAAAACAACAAATGCTTGTCTATGTGTCTAGAGCACATGCTGAGTACTTATTACTTTGAAAGGCCATCTTTCCCCATACAAATTTGCCTGACCATAAGCTCTTCAGGGAAAGTCTTCCTTTAGGGACTACCACCTTCAGAGGCACATTTAGTGACAAGAAGCCCTTCTCTTTTGAGTGCTCCCTGCTGCGAAAAGCAAATTTCATTCCTTTTCTGCTCACTTTCCATTGGCAGGTAAAGAGAAAGTGTGCCTTTGGAGTATAAGTGGGTCTGCTGGGTTATATGATATTTTATTCTGTTAATGATGCAATTTTACTTAATACATTTTAATGCATTTACTTTATTATTATTTTAATCAAGTTTTATTTATGATTGTAAGCCACTTTAAATGCCATTTTTCTTAGAAGAAAAGTGGCCTACAAATCAAATACATACATTTCCAAAGATGAAGACCAAGGGGAAGTGATTTCTTTCTTTTCTACTTGTTATAATGTGTCTAATAGTGCTCAACATGTTGTCTTTTCTTATTATGTGCCTAGCAAAATAAAAGGAATACAATGAGAAATCAGTTATTATGCTGCATATATTACATGTTATATCTGTATGCCATTAGCTCAAGGCAGTCCTACAGCAAAGCTAGTTTCTGATAGAAGCCCAGGAATAGCACTTCTATTCTGCATGTGAAGTAAGCTCTTGGGCTACTCTAGATTTGTACTCATGGTCCTTCACTCATTGACATTTCAGAGCCTTTTCATGACATCACCACCCTCTAGGGATAAGTCATATTTTCCAACCATTTTTGCAGCTATTTTAAGAAAAGAGCCCTGTTATCTCCTAGGCACCACATGGGGTGGCTATGTACTTTTTTGCAATAATGCTGCACCACAATGCCACCTTGTGGTTGTTTTATAAAATGTAGAAGAAAGGTAAATTAAACCCCAGGGGTGTGGGCATGAAAAGGACACACTCTTCCTCCTGCAATGAAAACAGAAGATGCCTCAGTAAAGTAGCAGGATAAATGCCTTGTGTACAGAAACCCATGCTTTCTTTATTTGTGTTTCTGCAATCATACAGCAGTGGAGGCCTGCAGAAAGAAAGGTGAACTGTTGCAATAACAAGGAAGCAGAGATTTTAGCAGCTATACTAGGAAAGGTCAGAAAAGCCAGTGTCATTCTGAACTCTGGAAAAGCAAGGAGATTAAGAGGTGACCATACCACACTATACACAATTCTGAAGGGAATAGAAAGGGCAAATGTTACACTGCTAGTTGAAATAGTGTCAAATATCAAAGCACAGGCAAAACATGGAAGAACACTAAGAAAAAGACCTGATACCAAGAAAAGGTGGATAAAGCCCACATTGCAGCAAAACTGCATGCCAAAATAATTTATCACTCTAGCTGGTGGTAGACAGTTGCCTTAGGCATGCATGTTGTCCTGGCCTAATTGCAAAAGCCTTCTGCAAATAGAAGTTCAGTCCTATGGCTAGAGTGACTTTTCCCTTTCTGTCAGTGGGAGGAGGGCTGGTGACTGAAAGAGAGTTAGGACAGGGGGTGGCAGAAGGAGGAAAGAGAGAAGTCATAGAATCATAGAATAGAAGAGTTGGAAGGCACCATGAAGGCCATCAAGTCCAACCCCCTGCTGTTGCAAGACACTACATTATACCATCCCAGGTAGCTGTCCAGTTTCTTTCTGGATGTCTCAAGAGCCCACCACCTCTCCAGGCAGCTGGTTCCACTGTTGTATCACTCTGACAGTGATGAAGCTTTTCCTGATGCCCCCAGCCTGAGTCTGGCTTGTCGCAACTTGACTTAATTATTCCGTGTCCTGCATTCTGGCATCAGCAAGTCCTTGTAGCAGAAGCTTCAGGGAAGAATTGATGAAGGAATTAGTTGATCCATGTGATATGCCAGGTGCCAGGAAGAAGGGCATAATTTATGCACCAGGGCTAGTGTTGGTATAAATTGCTGAGTGCAGGGGGAAGCAGGAGATATGAACTGATATTCTTAACCTACCCACACAAACACACACACACATTCACTCTCTTTTCTGTGATTAGGACTAAATAGAGAATTTCTGTACTTTCATGTAAATAGATAATTTTCATGTAACATTACAGTTCTTTCCTGTGGAGGTTCTTATTCTCTAGCATTTCCTAGCAAACAGCCAATAAATGGTGTTCCAGTTGATCCCCTAGAAATATAGTCAGGCTTTCTTGGAACCTACCAGGATGAAGTGGTTGACACCCCCCGAGCAGCCCCACCATGGCACTCTGCAGAGTTCATAAAAACATTTGCCTCTGTGCTGACATTTCTTTGCATATTTACAACGTGCAGGTGATGGGACTTCCCACCCCACCCCAATATTCCTGAAAACAATGTGGAAGCAAATGGAAGCAGGAATATTGTCTCAAGAACATGCAAAAGAAGAACATTTGTATGGTGGAAAACAAATCAACCCAACAAAACTTCCTTCAATTCTTCTTGAGATTCCACACACTGAAAACAGAAGGAGGACTGGGTAAAAGCAAACACCAGACAATGTAATTGCATCCACTATATGGGGAAGAGAAAGAGGAAAATATGAAAGTGAAGTTACA